CTGTGAAGCCTTCATCTTCCAAATTGGAAGCTTATATGCTGTTATTAAATTTCAGGTCGTCTAAGCACAGTTTCACAGTCACGATTTTTACACGAAAGGCCTGCTACAGTTCATGTGCCCAATGGCAACTGGTGCACTCTAAAAACATCGCATGTCTTTGGGTTGGTGGTTGGTGGGAAGCCAAATTCTTCTCTAATAAAACATAAGTGAAGACATCGGAATCTACTATGACGGCTAAGTGCAGTGGTGAGTTTGTTATATCTGCTCTAGTTTAAGTTTAAGCATTCTTTCCAATTCTTTTTTTTTTTTTGGGAGAAATGCAACGATGGACTATAATTGAACTGTGACACTGTGCTACATAAACCTCTGTCACATTGGTTTTTGTTGTATTTAGTTCAAACTTACCATTATAGTGGCTATGGAATGCAAAAATGGTCTAAGGATTCCTCTAAGCTCTGTGCCTGGATTTCATGTAGCGTGTTAAATACTAAATAATACATTATTGCTTGACCCATTGTCCTGCTTTAGACTAGCCTCTGTACAAATTAGATATTTCCGCTAGCTGGAACTGGAAAATGGATATCACCATTGCTGAATTAAACAGTGAAGCTACATATTCTGTGAGTAACCAAATGACCTGTCTAAAATTTTATCATGCTACCCATTTCTCTTGGTCGTGTTAATTTTTAAGATAAGCAAAAAGTGATATATTTTGAAGAATTATATGTCATGATATCTCTATTCATCATCTGCAAAGTGATACATTTTGATGATATAATTGACTATGGTTTTGTCTTGTATTTATGTTACCAGCTATTTGTATATATGTATTTTTTTCATCTTAATTTTGTTTCTGGTGCATGGAAATTAGGTAGATATCAAGAGGTTAGTCGAACTTAGTGTCCAAATGTTCCCTTATTTGGCCCTCCCCGCATCTTGTTCTTATTTATCATCACATTTCCCATAATTTTAGTGTCTGCTTCCTTGAAACTGTGTAACACCCAACTTATAATTAGTTCCTATTTTTGTCTTATAGGATCTGATTAAACCCTTTGTTGTTTTCAAGTCAACTACATGATTAGTTAATAGGTGATTGATCCAAGATTCCAAGTTTAAGCCTCCCTTTTTAGGCAAGTTCTTTTTTCAACAAGGAGGAGATGGATGCTTTGATATTAACGCTACCTTTCATGCAAGTGGTGAAGCTTCTAGAATGTATGATGAGTCAGAAATGAATGATCCAACAATGTGCATTGTGTTCCCTCTTTATTCATCCCAAGTCACAACCAAGATTACAGCACAAACACAGTTGCTTTAACTGTTGCTTAAAATGGATTAACTAGCAAAGTAGCTTTAAGATCTAACAACTTGATGAGAAATGGTGGTGCTCACGGGATCCGTCATAGACTCATAGTTGCAGTTACAAGCTTCTACCCTTTAAAGAATGCCCTCTTTGGTAAGGCAAGCTTCATCTTCTCATCTCTCAATTGTTCAGAGAGATTCTCTATCATTTCATCAAGATAATGCTAAGCTTTAATTCACTTTTGCAGGACATGGATTTTCTGAGTTTTTGTTGTAACTTCCCCTGATCAAATTCCCTTAATCAGGACAATTCGAGGATATATATGAAAGTGGATGGAGTAATGCTTCGAGGCAGCATTATGCAAAAATCATTTCAAGGTGCATTGTCACATTTTAATCCTTTAATATGTGCAAAATTTGAATGTTAAAATCCAAGTTATTAGGTGAACCTATTTTTAGACTAATTTATGCCATACTCAAATTATGTTAACTAACCATTTCAATTTCTTATTTCTTCAGGATTCCTTTGTTGTATATATCCATATAATAACTAGCGTCGAGAAAAGTCTTCATGAACTCATACATGAATGGCATGGGGCTTGGACTTTGAAATATATCAAGTCAGGGGAGCTTTAAACAATGGCTAGTGGCTGGTTTTGATCATCATTGCAAAAACAGTAGAAAGACAATGAGAGTGAGTTGCAACAGCAGCAAGGTCAATAGAGGAGTTAGTTCTGGCAGATGATCAACAGTGATTTGGTCTCCAGTTTCTCTTGGAACACACTTAGCACAGTTGGTGGGATTTATCCCAATTTGATGGGAGATTTTGACTTCCAGCTTTATTATGGTGATGACTATGACATTAGTGATCCAAGAATTTAGTCTTGATGATTTATTGTTGTGTACAACTTCTGGTGTTTCCCAAAGTAGAAAAAACTTTGCTGTTAAGTTTGATTATTTTCCGCTTAAGTGGGTAGAGAGAGGAGAAGAATACTTGTTGAGTGTGGTATTTGGTAACCCTCTTTGGAACAGTGTATTATTCTGTACAGATTTTTTTTTTTTATCCATGCATCCCCAAAGCTTGAAAAGCTCATTGTTATCTTTCTATTCCCTATTCAAGTTCAAGTGATTAGCTGTTGTATACCATGAAGTCATCAATAGTACTGCACATCACCTACAAAAAGTTAGCATAAGAAAATTAGTAGAGAGGCTCAATGTTAGCAACAGTTTTGATTATAAGCTACATACCTTATAATCAGTCCCTAGTGAATATTTAAATTAAGACTAATAGCTAGTGTTTGGATTTGAAAATATATATGTTTTTTTGTCCTAAGGAAAATATGTAAAATGAAACATTTAGATGATAAGTTAAAACCTATGCACCATGTAATTCATATATATTGTTTCTTGCACTTCTCCATTTCCAGATGAAGTTCAAGACTTTCATTTCCTTTCAATCTCTTCATTTGAAAAAATGCATTCAATTGCCTCCAAAATGGTTTATGATTTCATTAACCTTTTCAGGTTGTTTTGTTGGAAAGGGATTGCGGAGTTCAACTTAACATTAGAAATATCTATATTGATGAAAGCCCCACATGGGCTTTCGAAATGATGTTCTTAGGCAAAGCCAACCTCGTAAACTCATATTGTTTTGAGCCAACTATTTTAGACTATTTGACCAAGTATATATGATGGACCACGGTTGATCTTTAGAGGCTCATTTTCAGATAATTGACTGTAAATTGACCTTCTTCCTAGCTCTTCATTTTAAGGATGAAATTGTCCTTGGGTATATGGGTAAGAAACTAACAATATTGATGGACAAGTTATTTTCTATCTCTGGTTTTTTTTTTTTTTTTAATCCTTAAATCTCAATTATCAAAGGTCTCCTCACATAAAGGAAGAGTTTTTTACCATGGAAAATCTTTAGATTTATGGTTTTGGCACAAACACATCTGGATCAATCACTCCTTCCTTTGAAAATTACAGGGCATTGGTGTTTTTCTCCTAACATTTCTTGCCATATCAAGGTGGATGCAGTAATGCTTTGAGGTAGCATTATGTGTAAATTATTCCAAGGTGCAAGACTGTCACATTTAATCCTTTAATATGGACAAAAGTTGTAGATAGACTATTTCTGTCATACCAGACTAATTCATGGATTTACACCGTGAGTTCACTTGATAATTAATTGGACCATTTTTCTTTGTTCAAAAAGCACAGTAATTATAACTACTATTTTTAATTTCTTTTTTCAGTATCCATCTACTGTGTCATTCCAAAAATAGCAGAGAAATTTGTGAGGGTGAGTTGCGATAGTAGCAAGAATGTGTGGTTCAGCTGGATCAACTGTTCTTTGGTCTTGGTTTACCACCTTCGATGAGAAAAGAAAAAGGCAGATTCATCAACAATTATTTCAGCCAGTAATGATGCTTGTTCGGGCAACTTGAGGAAAGTTAAAAGTTTGTAGAAATAATGCTTTGTTTCTTGATCTTCCACCACATTGGATGTTTACGATGTTTTCAGTACTAATAAATGTTGAGCTTTCCCCTTTTCCTTCTTCATGTATGTAAAATATATCTTAAAATCACGTGAAATTTTACTCTGAACATTAGTGATAATTTGAGCACTCAGCTTTTTTTTTTTTTTTTTTT